AATGGTACAGATCCAATGAATGATAATGTCTGGTTCACATGGCAATTATCTGTTGACTTTCAAAACATAAGAGACCTCACACAATTTAAAAAAATCATAGAAAGGTTTCCCAAAGTGTATTATAAGCCTGGCAGACCACCAGGCTTTACTTGCATTCCCACCAGTCTAAGCTTTGTTTATTTATATACACCACCATCCAGGCCTGTCGCAATAAGCAATAAATCAGTAAACTAAAAAATGAGTTCAATCATTTTTACATGCATAATTTATCATGTTTTTTTGTCTTTTCTCTCTCCATTTCTACCAAAAACTGAATGATTAAAGTCTTCAGTTCGCTGCTTTGACCTCAAATAACCCTTTTTTTTTTGTTAAAGTACTTTTTTTACAGTAACTCCATAATTCACTTAATTTGTTTTGTTTCTTTTGAATATCAAGTGTCTTCTAGACCTCTATAGGTATCAACTGCCTCTCAACATGCCAACAACTTCAGCAAATAAAGTCACTGATAAAAAAAATAAATAAATAAATAAATAAATAAATCACTTTAATTAGGATGAAAACCTGAAATACAAAAATTATATTTATTTTATTTACCTAGTTATATTTTAAAATTTCCGGTCAATTTTAAAAAAATTTTAAACTCAAAAACGCAATAGGCTGCTGGTTGACTGCCCTAGTGCCCCTTTCTACAGACTTGGAAAGTTTTATGGGGGAAACCCTGAGTAGGTATATCAAGTTTGGTTCTACACACAAACATATTTCACTCATGAACATTCAGATGTCAGGGAAATCTGGCAAAACCTCTGGCGCTCAAATGGGACCTCCGAGTATAAAATATGGCTGACAAGGAAGAAGCAATAATAGTTTGTGGACTATTTTTAACAATGCATTGGACTTTCTGGTGCACCATAGTGGTTGCTGTGTCTTCTGTATTTTGGATTCCCCTCCATGTTTCTGTCCGTTTCTGGAAAACCCCACACAGTGGGATATCAGGCCAAGACATTCCAACATGTTGAATATCCCAGTTGAGGTCGGAGCGTTCCCGACGTCCTTCCAAGCACACTAGATCACTTGGACACCTCCTAAGATCATCTTAAGAGCCATCATGATAATCAGACCGTCCTTAAGATTGCTTTAAGGGGAAGATTGGGTCAAAATATTCTTGCTTTGTAAACCAGGCTTAATTTAGCTACATTTTTGTAAGCAACTGTCAACATAATTTGTCCAAAAAACATAAATTACATACAACACAACATAATATAAAGGTTCACCAATTAAACTTTTGATATGTGAAAATGTTCCCATCCCATCAAGTCTCTCCCATTTTGCCTTTTAAGCAAAAACGTCGACGTATGTTGCTGTATATTTATGTGACAGATGAATAAGTAGTAGCACATATTTGTGAAGTTGACTGAAATAAATGTGTGAAACATACTTCAGTGATCAAGAATAAAAAATATGTCATGTAGTCTCAAAGATAACAAAAAGACATGTGAAAAATCTGTCCGATATAATTCACTGTCCTCTCTGTCATTAATTGCCCTGTTCAGTATTTCTCTTCTCAGCATGTTACGGTATTTCACAATATAAAGACTCAGTTCCCTTGTAAGTCAGCAGAATCAAGACGCGTGAGTCCAAAAGTCACATGGACGTGCAGGCAGGTTTCCCTCAATTAGAAAAGAAAGAACTTTGTTGGTGTGGCTGGTGGTGTGACCAGACCTGCAGGTCATTTCCAGACAAAGCAGCCCTAAATGCATCCACGTTTGGCGTAGTGATGTAACAGAAGGCTGCAGGGCTTTTCTCTGTAACAAAAACTAGTGTGTGAGGCTGATGCATTAATCAGGTTCATGCAACCGTACATTCCTGCTAAGCTCCTCTGCAACATAAGGAAAATTGTATTTTATATTTAACAGTTTCTGCCTTCATATTCCACCCACATTAGTGCAATATAGAATTAGCACTTCTATATAAAAGTCAAAATGTGATTTATTCCTTCAGTCTCAGAAAAACTTAGTTGAGAAACAAAAAAAGGGACAGATTATGTGAACGCCTCCTCCAACTGCAGCTTTACTTGCAAATGGGGGATCCTCTACAGTTGCTTAGTGCTCATTTAGGGAGCTGTCTGATCGCATTTCCTGTCCAAGAAAAAGACAAATCCATCTTCCGGCGCTTCAGTTTCTATTGAGTTTTCTCATTATCAAGCAGTGCTGAGTCTTAAGAGGCCATATCCTGCTCGCCTGTCATGCAGTTTTATCAGGCTGCCCAGAGGGACCATTAACATTGTTTTACCAGACAGAGAGGCATGTTTTCTGGTAGGATAGATGATTCTTAGGTCATTTGTAATCATTACACACTGATTAACATGCAGACATAATGCTAGAACATCAAAAAATGATGATTGGGACATGATATCTCAGGGCAGAGTGGCTGCTAAAAACAGCAGCAGATAATGTGGATGTTTTAACACAAAGTAGGCATCAAATCTGACTAACGCTGATTCTTAAATAGAAGGTGATGACTTATTTAGCTCATAATAAATGATCATTTAAGTTTTGAGCCTGTGGTTAAGCTACTGTCCAGGTTTTGTTCAGAGGCTGATCAGCTGTAAGATTGCGCTTTAAATTGATCAATCAATCAACATCCCAGCCTTTTGAAGACCTGATTGTTTGATGTTTTCACACCTCATAGTCCAGTAAACTGTGGTTTGCTTTCACACAGCACTGTCAAATGAACCAAACTCTTTGATAAACCTGTCCCCCAAATCGCCTGTGGTGGTGCTGCACCAAGAACCACTGAAGGAAACGTCACGAAAACCTCTGAAGAAGACATTAGCGCAACTTCCTTCTTTGCAAAACATAAATGGAGTAGCTCAGACTTTAGCAGCAACCATTTCTCCTGCTAGTGCTAAATTAGCATGTTTGTTTTGGCTGTATTTGCCCAGTATGTCCTGCGCTATAGTACGGTCCTGTCTTTAACTGAGACCAATGTTTTTAGGCGGTCCAGAGTTCCCTTTACAGAGTTTGATTCATATTCACCTCGACGAATGAACTTCGTTTCTTTCTAGACAAACAAAGTAGAGTTCAATTAAAGTAGACTAAACAGAGCTGGGGTGAAGGCACCCTAAAATAAAGTCTTTTGGCAAAGCTAGTCTTTTGAGATTGACAAATTAAACTTGAATATAAATTGAAGGTCCAATTTGCCGATCACTTATGGTTGACAAAAATAAAAAACACAAGCCTTAAGACTCAAACAGACCAGAATTTCACTTCAAGGTTTGGACCCTAGTGAAGTTACCTCAATCTCTACTCATAGGGTGAAATATATATTTTTATGCACAAAGTGATTTTTGGAAAATTGCCATCATACATCTTCTTCAAGTTAACTACAGTGAACCTCAGAGCTAGCATCTGGCTACACTTTAAGGCAACATTGGTGCGCACAGAGTCAGGAAAGATCAGTTTATCCCATAGAGTTTGAATGACGTGCAGCTGTCTCTTTAGTTTTAAACAAAAACTGTCGGAGGTTTTTATTGCTTGACATCTTGTTGTGACTGTAAACGTGTAATTTATCAATATTGTTGTGTTAGTATTACTTTTCTTGGCTCTTGTACTCCTTTTATCTTAGCCAGCATGTCCTTGTTAAAGAAATTAACAATCTCAATGGGTTTATTTCCTGGAGAAATACCCATAGGAGCCCAGCACCAGTCCTCAAGGGCCCGGATCTCCTAGTTTTTGATGTGTCTCTGCTCCAGAACAGCTGATTTAAATAGTCCAACAATATCCTCAGCATGTCAAAAAGTTCTGCAGAGACCCACTAAAGACAAACTATCATTTGATCCAGATGTGTTGAACCAGAGAAAGAACTGAAACATGTAGCATACCAGCCCTGGAGGACTGACTCTGATCTAATCGAAGGCTGTTTTTCCCCCCTCAAAGCGAGGAGAAAATGTCAATGTTCATGTCAAAAACTTGTATGCTTTTCAAGATTCAAACATTGGGTTTTGTTATGAACTTATTGCAGATTATAGAAAATATGCCAAATGCAAAAAACAAGTTTGTGAGAAAATGGATGGAAACATCATTTAGAGGTTAAGAAAAAGGAATAAAATCGGGAAATTCAAGTTCAAATAATATAAAAAGCTTTGATGTCATAGGGAACCAGTAAGTACCACACACTTCTCAGATTTGCACCTTCATATCAAGTGCAAAATACAACAGAGCTTTGAGATTCTTCTAGACATGATTTGAAGCTTGAGGCACTGGTTGCAAAAGTCTAAGAAACGGAAAAGTTATCCTTCAATCTAATTCCTCATTAGGTCCAAATGACACCATCGCACACAGAGAAAGCTGTGTTTGGATGAAAGTGACAATTTATCTACATCTCTTCTCAGAAAACTGCACAGACTTGTTGGTTGCTCTCTGCACGCCTTCCTCCTCACAATGTCAGGCTGCTCTCGCTGCTGCAGCAGCCTGGAGAGGGGCGACAACCACCCACAAGACAAGGTACAAAAATATGCACCAACTTTTTATTAAATCCAACCCCAAAGCAGCTCTTCCTCCACATGTTAGCCTGAACTTTGGACATGGGGGGGAGGAAGAGGTTAGCTTAATGGAGGAGCATGAGCTTTCAAGAACATTCCATCTTAATAGGAACCAAGAACTGGTGCTTGGTTAGGAGGAACATCGGCATTTAAACACAACCAGACACACAGGAGGCTCCACACAGACCGGGCTAACGGTGGCCAGCCCGGTTAGCGTTACAGCCGTCTGAACGGCACACTTTTCCTCTTATAAACCCCCCCACTACCACCTCATCCCCGGTGTGCAACTGCAGGGCCCGGCGCCGCCATACACCACCACACAGGCGCATAAAACAACACGTACAGCATGCTCCGGAGCGGACGGAGACGGGGGGCGAACCGGTACCGTGAAACCGAAGAGCGAGTCACAGAGGACGAGGACACGTAGACCAGGGGGAGGGAGAGAAGTGGGCGAACTAACCTGTTTGAGAGCCGCACAGTCCGCTGGATGTTTGGGTTGAATCCGAGTTAAATCCACTATCAGTGTAACAAAGAGACGAAAATCACCGAGTGGTGGCGGAACAGGCCGAAACTCTGGGGAGAAAAGTTGAGCATGCGCAGACTGTGCGATGAGAGGGTGAGTGGGTTCAAGTGTTTGGGGATTTTTTTTTATTGATCGGCTAAATGAGCTATTAATTACTAAATTACCATAATTTTCCGATATAAACAACTTAACTAGACTTTATATTTTCTGGTTAGTCAATTTTGAATTTTTTGACAAAATTATTTCTGTGGATTTAAATGTTATTATTGACCCGCATTCAAAAAAAGACAACATATTTATTTATTTATTTATTTATTTATTTATTTATTTATTTAAAACAGAACATTTGTTTTGCATAATTGAATGCAGTCGCGTTACTAACTTATTAAATTGTGGGCTGATGGGGGAATATATACTGCTCATCTTCATTTGACCAGTTGACAGCTTCATTATTTATTTAACATATTTTCAGTTTTGTTAAATTTTATTTGGGGGGTGGGAGGGCTCCATTTACACAAATGCATTGCTGTACAAATTTATCCAAATTTTATGTATCTTTTCACAAGGACTTTTCATTGACTTACATCCATTTTTCATTCATTTACACTAGCAACCATTACCACTTCATACTTTACCCTAAACCTAACCTAAACTCAATTCACACTTTAGCCCTCAACCCAAAAAGAACACATCTTCTTCACCTTTTTTATGTCAAATGGAAATCACATTCTAATATATAGAATATGTAAACTGTAAATTGATTTTGACTATCAAAGTTCAAACTCTTCTATCAAACAGTATATTTAATAAAAAGAAAAAAAAAGAAAAAATGTGTCACGTGATGTTTCTCTTACTTCAATTGCATGTCTCAACCTGAAATTAATTAAATTGTGAGAAATTTCAGATTGTCGTTGAACTACAGAGTGATTCTTCGTTCTTTTAGACGATCTTTGTACAGTACAATGACGTTCTCTGATTGCTGGAGCGATGTTTTTCCCTGTCTTTTCCAACTGTCAAACCGGCTTCCTCGTTGTGGGTTAAAATGACTTTAAAGTCTATCCGAAGACCACAGAACTGATTTGCCGTCGTTTGTTGTTGTTGTTCGAACATTTACGGACATGTTGACAAACATCAACAGGTTAAACTTTGGGATATGTCCCAAACATACGCGCTCGTAGCTAGCTAGCATAAATAACTAATCAATAATAAGTTAATAACTGTGGAAGTTGTCATGGACGCCGGAGGAGAGACGACCAGCGACATTCGGACCGTTTACGGGGCTGTTTCTGGGAAACCGAACCTAGACCCGACGAGGCTGCTGTGTTTTAAAGTTTACAAGAGGAGGTGGTTTGTGCTGCTGGTGCTGTGTCTGTTGAACTGCTCCAACGCCACGGTGAGTCACTTTATCCACTGTTTTTATGACTTTCTGTGTTTACGGAGGAAAACTTTGCCAAATTCAGGGTTGTATGGCAGCATAGTAGTGCCAATAATAGTTATTGCAGTAGTCGTGATAATGCTGAATATTACTGAGAATTACTTAAGGTTGAGTGGCTTATATCTTGAACAAAAAAAAAAAAAGTTGTGTAATAATATTTTTATGCCACATTTTAAAGCCAGATCCCATCACAATGCTGCTTAATTAAGACTTTGATCAAATTTTACAGACATACATTAAAATTATCACATTTTCTTTGTCATTGAACTCCACAATTATCCATCAAAGAGTGGAAGAGAGTCAATAGTACTCAATAGTCCATTTGTAGTCGTACTCTGAAATTACGAGTTCCAGTCGGTAAAATTAAATGGAACGTTCTTCTTAACATTGTTTTAAGCTTTACTTTTCATAATAATGCACTACTTTTAATTTGTTTAATTTAGAGGTACACGTAATGTAAACTTTAAGCGCACTTTTACAACAATGTCTTGTAAAATACATGTTTCCAACACAGCTTATTATTGTTGAGGCGTAGCCAGTTTGACAGGCGAAGTCAATCTTATAAGTCGTAACTGGGGCTAGTAGTTTCTCCCACTTTCTCAGTGGAAAATCTGACTTCTGGGGGCATTTCTGTTGATTTTTATGACTGGGAAGTGGGAATTTCTCAGCTCTGATTACAAATGGAAAACACTACATTTCCGCTTGTTAAAGTTCTTTAAACACCTTTTGACTACAATCTATCGTTTACAATTCAGTATTGCCTCTATGGACAGTGATTTAAAAACCAAAATGAACCTATAAGGCTGTGATGTATACCATGCGGTCAAAAACTGTGCATTGAAACAATGTCTTCAGTTAGAGGCTTCTTCAAATTCGATGTAATACAGACTGCAACAGGAGACCCTTCCCACCCACAAATAACTCTGGAAAATCTGAATTAATATGAGTTACAACTGCATGATCCCTTTGGGATCAATAAAGCATTTTTGGATTTGAAAGACATCATGTTGGTGGTTCATTTCTAGATCAGAAATGGTGAGAATTGTTTGTTTTGATGCCAAATTTTAAAATGTGGCCAACTGATTGGTCCATCTCTCATAAACGTCTGCTTTCTTGCTAAGTTTAAGTTGTAGTTTCAGGGCTGGAATAAACATTTAAGATTTTTTTTTTTTATCTTTAAACTTTGCCATTATTTTCTCCCGTACAGACATTGTAGAGGCAAATTCATTGACTTACTGAGACATGTGGTTCCTTCTAGTGTTTGCATAACTTGATATCACTCCCAGGGGACGTTGTCTTTGTGAAGCTGAGTGTGCCTGGAGGCAAGTGTGCCGCCCTCAGTCACACAATCTGAGCCCCTCCCTCACATATCTGCAGCCCCTGCGGGATTCGTGCTCGCGTTGGGAGCTATTGTTTCCAGGGAGCTGGTGTTTTCGCTCACAAAAGAAGCTCAGCTGGAGGAGAGGCATTCATGATGTGGCAAATAACAGCTGAAGAGCCAGTTAGACATTAATCAGTGTGACATTAAGAGTCCCATAGGGGTCAGGATTTATGAAAACCTGCAGCCCCACAGGTAGGGTCACTCGTAAGAAGTGTATTATTGCTCATGATGAACGCCATCGAAAGGAATTAGCTTGATTAAGGATCAGTCTGGATATTACTGTGTTTTCGGTTTGTATTTGTAAGATTTCAATAGGATTGTAACAAAATGTGTAAAATGAGCTGAAAGATGATTCCCAAAACACTGAGGAAACAAAGCAAAGTGTCAAAAAGTAAAAACACCTCAGAAACCTTTCACCCTGCAGTGAACAATAGTGACATTGTTCGTCCAAATCTGCTTACAAACTAGTTCATTGTACCCAGAATGGACTAGTGCAGGTTCTTCTTTTGTTACCTCAGTGTTGAACAGGTGAAGTCCACAGTACCTTGCAAAAGTTTTCACATAAATATAAAGTTTTTTGTGTTTTGTTGAGATTTTATGCACCAGACCAACACCAGTGGAAGAAAAACAATGGAAATGCTTCTCAAATAAAGCCCTGATAAAATGAATTAGGGCTGAAAATCAACAAATTTAGTCATCAAATAGTCATTAAGATTATACAGAATGGGAAAAAACACTATTTTCTGAAACAACATACACAAAGGAGTTATTAAGCTAAAACTGTACAAAAAATATCTACATTTTGTATTTAAGATGGAAAAACTCCTAATTTTTCTCTAAAAAGGTTTAAACCAAAACTCCTCAAATGACAGTTTTAGTTTCACCCGATTCCTTATGTAAAAAGACAAAAGTTATAAAAGAAAACTCAGATCAGCCCCACACTGTACTGATGCCAATTAAAGCAGAAACGGCTGAACTTTCCACATCTTGATGTATTTTTAGTTTCTTTGCTACAAATGATCGATATTAATTCACTAAAGAAATGTTGTGTTGTTACTAGTTAGGCAATCATTTTTTTTATTTAAAAAATGAATTATTTGTTTATTTGAACTTTACATATTTTTAATATTTCACAAAATAACCTTAAGTGTTAAAGTATCTGCTTAATCATCAGAATTGATAGAATGATTGATTACTAAAATACTAATTAAGTTGCACTGCTAAATGTATTTAAAATACTCCAAATAATTCTGTCACATGTCTTTTATCAGTCATGTATCCTCATCAAAATATCTAAGTAAAATGCTTTATTTCCTCTTAGATATGGCTTACCTTTGCACCAGTTGCAGACCAGTCAGGCCAGTACCTAGCGGTCAGCCTGGAGGACATTAACTGGTTGTCACTGGTTTTCATGGTGGTTGCCATTCCGCTCAGCTTCGGGACCACCTGGATGTTGGACACCCTCGGTTTACGGATCACGGTATGAGAGCAGATAACATTTCTGAAAAATTAAGAAGCTAAGATGAGCTTTTTAATCTGCTGCGGCCTTTTGACCTTTGTCATCTCTCCAGCTCATCCTGGGTTCCTGGCTGAACATGCTTGGAGCTCTGCTGCGTTTCCTCGGCACGCTGCTGCCGCCAGCTCGATTTAAGCTCCAGTTTCCAGCAGTGATGCTGGGTCAGACGCTCGGCGCCCTCGCCCAGCCCCTCATCATCTTCGCCCCCACCAAACTGGCCGCCCTCTGGTTCCCCGACAGCCAGCGAGCTACAGCCAACATGATCGCCTCCATGTGTAAGGGACTCCTAAAGCTTCAGCAGTTTATCATTTACATAGCAACTTACTGCACAGCCTGTCCAAGAGAGCAGAGCAAACAACATAAGACCCGGGTAGACGGGTAGACGGTGCCTGAGGCGGCATCATGAAGTCCAACAAACACACCAGACCGCTCAGGGATACAGTTATGGAGAACCTTAAAGCAGGATTAGGCTTTGAACTTCTCTGTTTAATACTTGAATAATTGTAAAAAATAAAGAATAAGTATTGAGCTTGTTGTTTTCTCTAGCTGTAAAATATTTCAGAATAATTGACAAGACAAAGCTTGATTATTTGAGCTACTGCTGTGTTCAGCTGTAGATCTGACTCACTAAAAGTTAAAGAGCAGCGATCTGTTGGTACTGGAGACTGGACATTAGGTAAATTATGTAAATGTTGATGCTTTTATTAGACTTGGGTCCATTTGTGCATCCATCAGTCTGTCCAGTTAGCCTGGAAATGAGAGGATTACCATTTTAAAATACTGGAACCAGTTATAAAAACCAGCCCAAATTGAGGGTTAAAACACAACAGGATCATAACAATACTTGATCTGGAGCAACAATGTTAAAACCCCAACATAATGAGAAATCGATAAAAACCAATTAGAGCAAAGTACAGGTTATACCAAACCATCAGCTTTCACTGGGGTTTAATTTCCCCTGAACTAATGGAAGTATTAGTTCAGGGGTTGGCAATCTTTAAAACAGAAAAAGCCATTTTGCCCTCAGTTTATTCCAGCTAAATAAATCTTTAGAGATGAAACTTCAAAAGATCATTATAATTCTGTTTAAAGAACCATAATTTTATTTCAGTTTTTATTTTTTTAAATACAGAAAGTCAACATTTTATTCAAAAAAATGGACACATACATTTTCTTTAGCTCCTGCGAAAAAAAAAAAAATTTCCTCTAGAGTTTATTTAAAGGAAATAATGTCTGTACACTGTGAGCTCTTGAAATTGGAGTAAAATATTTTGCTTGCACGCACAATTTTGCTCTATAAAGCTGATTACTAATTCTGAAAACATCCAAAGTTTCCAACTTAAAATAAACAATATTCCTGGTTCTTTGAGAGTCATTATTTGTGTAAATTTACTACAATTTTTACATCAGAAACCTAAGAAAATGCTCAAACGTGCATTTGTTGCGATCAGTTTAAAGGTATTTTAGTAACCATCAGAGGAGTCTATGTTTGGAAAATAAGAAAATAGTCTAAAACCATGTGTCTCATTTCTCCTGGGTGAAAAAGGGAAGTGGGTCAGTTTCAACATGTGATGAAAACTTAAAGGAAGTCACCTTTGTCCTCCATTTCTCACAGAAATGCAAACACAAAGAAAGATCCTTGAAAGTTTAAAAAAATAAGCCACAATCTGTTTGGTAAAATAATCAGATTTTAAGATGATAATTGTTTAGGGAAAGATTTCTGCCTCTGTCATGCGGATGTTTTGATTCAGTCACTTTGCAACTGGGAACAGAAACTGGTAAACTGGCTGCTCGCTCTGCTCTCACTCCTCAGCAAATCCCCTGGGCATTCTGCTCGCCAACATTATTTCTCCTGTCATCGCCAAAACATCGGCTCAAATCCCAAAACTGGTGAGTTTAAGTCATCAAGTAACCGAATTCCTCAATCCGTTCAGACAAACAGTTTTATTAATCATGTTCAACAGTATTCTTCTCACGTTACTAGAAATATGATCATCCCATGCGCTAATGATGATGAATTGTCTTTTATTTGGCCTATTTTGGCCCATTCATCACCACATTATGTGTGATTATTGCCCTCCTCTAGCTGCTGGCCTATGCTGTCCCAGCATGCATCACCTGTCTCCTAGCAACAGTGGGCATACGGAGCGGCAAACCCCCAACGCCACCGTCAGCCGGCGCCGAGAGCTCCGGATCTGAGCCGTTCATTCAGGGACTGAAACTGGTAAAAATGCAGAAAAATTAACCGCAGAGAGAAAAGGCAGCATCAGGCTGATCCATCCATTTTCTTTACACCCTTTTCCTTGGTGGGGTCAGGAGGGTTGCTGCTGCCTCTCCAGCTAACGTTCCAGGCAAGAGGCAGGGTACACATGCAAACTCCATGCAGAAAGACCGGGGCCGGGAATCAAACCCAAAACCTTCTTGCTGCAAGGCAACAGTTCTACCAACTGCGCCACTGTGCAGCCCGCATCAGGCTGATTTTTAGATTAAACTTAGAAAAACAACAAAATAATTGTCCGAATTTCCAGTTAATCTCTGCTCCCTAAGTTTATTATTAAAAAAATAGCATCTTAATTCACTTTAAACTTTAAAATGTTTCAATAAATAGAAGTGTTACAAATGTTAGAAAGTTGAATAAAAAGAAAACATCTACAGTTTCTACTGTATCACAAAGCTGGGTCACTTCTTATCTGGGTCCATCACCATGGAAACCAATGCTAGAAATGTGCTTAGCCTGCTATTTTCTTTCATTAAGAGTCGATCCAACATAATGCTGGCATGGCGAACATGAATGCACGGCACCTGAAATACCAAATATTGCATCGTTTGAGGCTGTAATATTGCAACGATGGTTGTGACTCAAGATACTGAGCAGCTGGAGATCAAGACCTTGAAAGCTCTGCCCCTCCAGCCTACCAGCGTCCTGGAAAAATGAAAAACTGGAAAAACACGGCTGAGAAAAAAAGGTCTCTTTTTTTCTGCTCGTCAGCAAACTAAGCCGTAAAATCTTTCCTTCAGCAGAAATTTGATACGAGATTTCTCAGCAGAATCAAACCTCTAATTTCATTCATTTCCCTAAAACGGGTTTTCAAGCTGCAAACTTATAGATATCAATATGATTACTGAAGAAGTCAAGAATCTCTAATCTCTGTTTTACCAGTTTGGTTTGTATTAAACAAAAAAAGGCATTTTACACCGACAAATGTTTAATTTTGACCCGCTTTGATTTGAGATTAAAGTGTTATGACTGAACTAGTTTCATAAAAAAATTTATAAATGAATAGTTTTTACTTCATCAATATATACAAGCAAAAATAAACTGAATTTAACGTTCAACAAGAAATTAACATCAGAACAAACGCGATAAAACCAATAAATAAAACACAGCAACCTGCAGAGAACAGAGCCGTTCAGTGAGATGCCTGATTGAAATTTAGTTTTAACACTGAGTCCGTAAAACCTTATAAACTGTGTAATGTCTGAACATTTAAAGATTTAAAACTTGTTTAAAAGTGCCAGGCTCACATGTTTAATGTAATTTTATGGTAGAAAATCATCTCTGACATTTAAAATATGTCCCCCTGCTGGACTAAAACATTTTATCTTTGTAGATCATAATGCAAGTGAATCTGAATAAATTAAGCCAATATTTAAAAGTTATTTTATTTCAGTAACTTACTGAGTGAAACAGTTTATATAGATTAATCAAGATAGATGTTTTCAAGTATTTATTTCTGTTAATTATTATTTTTCACTTCCAACAAATTAAAACACGACATTTAAGATTAAAATAAAAAAAAATACAGAAATGTGGAGTTAATGGAAAGTATGTTTAATACCTACTAAAAGGTTATTATTGTTGTTTTAAAGAGGTACAAATTATATTTTCTAAAAGATGTTAATTAATAAACATGACTAGTAACTGTGCCATTCTTCGCCTGTAGTTACTGAGGAACAAAGCGTACCTCATCCTGCTGCTGTGCTTCGGCTGCGGCATCGCTGTCTTCACCTGCTTCTCCACGCTGCTGGACCAGATCCTGTGTGTGAAGGGATACAGCAACGTAAGAACAGATTCAAGCTGCTTGTGTTTTATCATTCTACGCATAGTAGTTGTTATATGAAGATCTGTTTTGGAAAACTGGAAAACTTTGTCTTTTTGGGCATTTATATGTGATACAAAGCAGGGGTGGGTGATATGGACTTAAAGTTTTATCATAATATGTTTTGGTGCTATTTTAATAATGATAAAAGTGATTAAAAGAACCATTTATTACTTCTTATTTAGGGTTTCAGGAGTCGCAGTGACAAAAGCACAAATACTGCTCTTGAAAAACATATTTATTTGGAATATTTTTCTTCAGGAAACCAGTCAAAGAAGTGTGATTAAGCTGCACACAGGAACTAAATTTAATTTACTGATTTCACTGAACAAATGGTGGAAAAGTAAAAAATAGCAATACGGACAGTTTTTTGGAGGTTTAAGCATCATTAATTGGAATTTATTGTGAAAACGGTAAATCTAAAACTCTTATGTGCATTAGAAATTTATCACAATAAATGATAAATTATATAATGAATTTACCTGTAATGCACAACAGTGAGAAAAAGGAATTCATATTTTTTGCTTTATTTTCAAACCAAAAATCTAAAAAGGGCTGCATGCAAAGCCATTCAGCACCCATTTTGGTAATTATTCTTTGCCAAATTAACTCTGACCTGTGCATAAATCAGACAAAATGTCAAAAGGTCAAACAGCTTCCAAACCTCTGCATCGAAGTGCGATCAGCAGTAATATTCAGGTTGTGAAATGTGACCTCTGCAGGACTTTGCTGGCCTTTGCGGCGCTCTCTTCATCGTCTTCGGCATCGTTGGCGCCGGTGCCGTCGGCGTCTACGTGGACAAGACGAAGAAGTTCACCGAGGTCACAAAGATCGGCCTGGGCCTCTCCACTCTGTCGTGCATCGCCTTCTCAGTGGTGAGGAACTGAAAGAAGGAAACTTCTGTTAGAGTGAATTCAGCTGAGATGATATTTGTCTGCATCTCAGGTGAGTCTGATGCCTCATCAGAAGGTCGCCGTCGCAGCCGTCTGCTCTCTCTTCGGCTTCTTCGGTTTCTCCATCTACCCTGTTGCCATGGAGCTGTCCGTGGAGAGTTCGTACCCGGTCGGAGAGGCCACCTCGGCTGGACTCATCTTTGTTTCAGGGTATCAAACGCTTTGCATGATGGGACATGGCTGAAGCCTTTAAACATTGAAGGTCTACAAACACCAAATCTTAACAAGTATTTTTGGTTTCAGTTTTATATTTATATATTTTATATATTTTAGTTTTTAAGATAAAAGTAACTTACAAATAACTTTTTATCAAGATGTAGGAGCTTGTTGTAGGTCAATAATTCCTAAGTATTGATGAAACGTTCTGGTCATTGGCAGATTATTTCTATAAGCAAGATATTTTACCCACATTATAAATGAAATAATCTGCTTCTTTTTCATCAATATTAGCTAATTATTAACTTAGAACAAGCGCCTATATCTTGTTAAAAAGTGAGTTGTAGGTTTATTTTATCCTATTTCAAGTGTACAAAGATATTTGCTCTAAAAACTCGAACAGAAAATACTTTGATTCTTTTCTGTAGACAATTGAATAGAATAGAAAATCATTTATTGCCATTTGCACATAAACATTATATTGGATTTTCTCAAGGATAATTAATCTTTATGAAAGGATAAAAACAACAAGTATAAGTCACTGATACTGCACATTAAAATTATTTAATTGCAGTTAAAATGCAGCTCATTGATAACATTTTGTGCTCCTGCCATCATTAATGTCCTGAGTCACTAATGTAACTTATACCAAGTTAAACACTAGGTAGTTATAATCTGATTTATACCATGTTAACCAGGAAATGTAGTTTTCTTTATTTATTCAATTATTTATATTCAAATGTTTCTTTCAAGAAAAGCTGTCATCCTGCATAAACCTGAATTAACTTCAGCTTCTGATCCAGTTGGTTGAAACTATACAGCAGCAGGTGTTTTACAGCTGGTTTACAAACTGATAACTTATACAACTTTATTTTGTTTTAGTGAAATTAACCCTGATTAGAGATTGTAAGTTTCGTATTGAAGTGAAAGTGATTCCTGTTTCCTTGTTGCAGGCAGGTGCAGTCGGTTGTTTACATCATCCTGCTGCAGGCTTTGACCAAACCAATCACCGAATCTCCGCTCTCCACCTGCGGAGACGCAGTGCTGAGCTGGAAAGGTTGGTCACATGACACCACACCTGTTTCAATTTGTTCAGAGTAAAGCTTCACAGGAAGTAGGATTAAAACACTTCCTGTGACAGCTAAATGCTGGAATTTAAACGTAATGAAATTGTACATTCTGCTGGAAAATACATATAAATGCATAAAACTTCCCAAAAAATATAGTAAAACAAACATATAAACAATAGTTATTCAATATAAAAGTATTAAATATTCATATGAGGTTACCAGAAAATACAGATTTATTGGAAACTCTGGCAAAAATGTGTAAAAATCCTTAAAATATATAAATCTTTTTTGCAGCAGCAACATAATGTTGCACTAAAAATTACAAAATAAAGTCTAATCTAGGGGTGGACAATATGGAGTTAGAATTTTATCAAAGTGTTTGTGTTACTATTGTGATAACGATAAAAACAATGATTAAAAAACAATGTATTATTTCATTTTTAGGTAGCTGTATGACAAATATTGTCATTTGAAACAGGTTTAATCACGACTACTTGTTTAAAAAAATAGTGATTTATATTTAATCATGTTTTTAAATTTAGTGATATTTATTGATGCTCTTATGCAACAAAACGTGAATAAAATATTAAAAATAACGTTTTCAATAATACTATCAATTTTGGTTTTTATTTGACATCATTGATTGAAATTTATCGACAACAATAAATCTAAATTCTTATCATGATCAGAAGTTTTTCACAATAAATGATGAACTTCTGGTCTAATCTTTGAATTAAGTGAATTTACTCTTTTAAAAAAAAAAGCCAAATTGAAATTGATCATTTTAATGAGTAATTTGACAAATTGCAATGTTTATTGCTTGTTTCGCAGTTGGTGACTGTATGATGTTTTTGCTGCACTTTGTGCTGCATTGTTGCTAAAATTTGTAATACAAATAAACTTGACTGTAATGGAGATGAAGGGGGAGCAATGTTTTTCAGGAATCAAGTGTTTCAATAAGAATAACAAACCATAAAAAGAATAAAAAAATAACAGTAGGGAAGTGTATTTAATCCTTTTTTAGTTTTATTTTTTAATTTGCTCCTCCTCCCCTCAGTGTCCATGATGGTGATGGCAGGACTGTCCAGTTTTTTCACCTGCTGCTTCCTCGTCTTCTTCCAAACCCGCTACAGACGGCTGGAGGCGGAAGAACAAGCTGCTCACGGGACCAGAGAGAATAACGACACGACCACTTCCTACCAAATAGTCGAGAACTGAAGGAAATGGAAACAAGAGACAGTTACGGGTTGGATCCAGCCTCTATGAAGTGTTATGCCTGTCGATAAGTGCAATAAGATTCTCTGATAATGATTCATGATTCTTTAAACAGAATCCGGAACAATTTATTCATGCATTCTGTTGCTTCAAAGGAGAAATGAAGTCATTTGAATTTCCTGCACTATAATGCAAAAACAAAAAAATCTTACCACTTGAAATAAGATAAAAACTTAACTTACAAGTAACTTTTCAGTAAATAATTGCTTAATATGGATGAAAAAGTACTGGCAGATTATTTCACTTTGTAATTTTCATAACAAAGGAGCTAATATGCAAATAGAATTATTCATTTTTCATCAATATTAAGGATTTATTTGCTTAAAACAAGTTCCTATATCTTGCTGAAAAGTTTTGCTTGTCTGCGACATTTGCACTAGAAACTAGACCAAAAATATTTGGTAATATTGTGTGTTTTTGCACCACTGGGGCATTTTAGTTGTCTTGTACTCATTTTATAATTAATTTACATAATTTAAATACTTAAACTGCTAATTTTGTACAATAATTTAATCACTGCTGTCTCTGTTTTCATCCTGTGTTTGTTTTGGCTTCCCTCACACTGAACTAAGACCATCCAGGGTCTGGTGTGAAGGAGGCCTTTGCTAATAAATCTTAGACAACTTATGATGGAGAGAAAACTCTCACCAGGTTTACTGACAGAAGAAATCAGGGTACTTTTTAACATAAATAAAATACCTCATTGATTATGTGCTGAAGTAGAAAAACAAAAAAGGATTAGAAACACTTGCAAGGTTGTTGCACTAAACTAAACCTGCCCAGGAAAGCAACCTTGAACAACTTTCTTAACCTCAATTGTTAGTAAAATTATTTAAACATGTTGTAAAAAATGTGTTGCCATCTTAGAGCTTAAAAAAATATGAAAAATACATTTGACTAACTTTGGTTAACTTAGCATCATGGTAAACAGCATTTATTGAAACTGAAACTTGGATCCTGTGTGCCAATATTCAATGTTAAAATCCAACTGAGCATAAATGTATAAATTAAAATGTAAAATTAAACTGTTTTATAATTGTACAACTTGTAACGACTTAATAAAAATGTTTCTTTTGGATTGCTGTCATGATTTAAAACTGTAATTTAAATGGCTATTTGTTTGTGGAGAGTTTAACTTTTTTCTCAGCTTGAAAACATTTTTTAATGGATAAAACAAGGATAATTTTTATGCAATTTAGTAATTTTTCTCTGAGTTATTTTATAATTTTAAATCTGACATCTGTACATAAATATTTCTTTCACGTAGATGTCATGCTTTATTGTATGTTTTAAACAGAGGTCAGTTGAATCAGGTATTTTCAATGTCTCCATGTTACCTGAAAACTGTAGTAGAGTAGCTCATCGTGTCTATAGAAGATCTTTGTACGGTACAGTGACAGTTTGTTCGCCAAGTTTTCCTTCTTGTACATTTGCAATATAAAATGAGCTTTTCTAACTGAAACTTCAATAAAACCTTTCCATGTCCTTGCCAGCATGATTTCATCAAGTACGGCGTAAATCCCGAACTTTGTAATCAAAAAAGCGAATCAATTATTTCATTCGTTTTTGTTCATATTTAATTGAGGAACGATCAACTTTCTTTCTCATGTTATTAGAAATCAGAGATGAACTTTGATCATCTTACATACTAATGATGATGATGATGAATTTACTTTGATTAAAAACGTTTTGGCCCATTTATCACCACATTAGATGTTATTACCCTCCTCTAGCTTCTGGCCTGAGCTATCCCAGCATGCATCACCCGTTTCCTAGCAACAATGAAGCAGCGAACCCCGGACCAGAGCCGCTTGTACAGGGCATCAAACTGGTTCTAGTGATGGAGCCTAAAGCTATACTCAGAGTGTTTTTACATCTGAACTGTTACATTAAACAAGATTAATCATAAATAGTAAAGAGATAACATTTTATCTCCAAACTGCGCATCCTACGCCGTCCAATACACGCATCTAAATGAGTTCATTTTGCTTTCTACTGAAGAAACCTACCTTTTACCTTTTGTCTCTTTGTTTGTGAAACATGTACATTTGTGCAATCAACAGAAATGCATCAACTGCTAAAGATTTGAACAATGGAAACATTAAAAAGGTTTTTCTGAAATATTTAACGTGTTTCACGTTAAATATATTCAAAACCACCACTCGTTGGATGTTTGTCTACTTCTGCAGACTTCAGACTTTTATCAGACTTTTCATAGTTGGGTTCTTTCTAGTCTGTGCCAGACTTCTTAACTTCCCTGGACATTTTACTTTGAGGTCAAGCACAAGCGATGGAGTTTTATTTTGCTACCTTCTTTATTTCAGATATCGTTTGTCGAATCAATGTGTTTTTGAATTACAGGCCTTGCAGCACCTAGTTTCTATTTAAGAATTAAGACAAAGCAACAGGTGAATAAAGCCTTTGGAGAATTGTATTTATTTCCTAATTCCACATAAGACAAATATAAAAAAGTAGAGCATTCTCTGGATTCGGTCGTCTCTCCTGCGTACGTTTCTCCCACTCTGTCTGGACCCAGACAGTTTATGTAGTTTTAAAAAATATCCATTCAATAAGAACACGAGCAGGAGATAAAAGTCAACTAAACCCAAAAAGCATGAAAATCAAGAAAATAAAAAGGACCATTACTGTAAACTAATGAATGAGTCCAGTCGGATTCATATTCTGAAACATGTATTCAGCTATGGCTGCATGTGACTGACCACATTGGCACAGAACACAAAACGGATAAATAAAAAAAAAGTAAAATAAAATATCTGAAGAGATTCTTGATGCAAGAGCTGGTAGTTCCTAACGCCTCACTGTGTCACATTAGGTGTGAACAAAGAATTTCCTCAGATCGCTGTTTTCTCTCAGAGCTGCAGCGCGCAGAACTGCTGGTAGACGGCCAGGATGTGATGGTCGAGCTCAGCGGTGAACAGCAGGTTCTCCAGAGTTCCCATATACTGCTGGATGGTTCCATGGTGCTGCGGGACAAAACATACAGTCAGATCCAAATCCCAGTAAGGCATGTTAAATGTTCATGTTATAGCAAAGGATGGATCTACTGGAACTACTGGATCAGAAAAACTCAAAGTTAAAATGATACCAAACATCTGGAAGATTTATTCTAACTATCCAGTAATTTCCGAGTGATGTTTACCATGAGGAAGACCTGCTGCAGCCGCTCGATGCAGTTTTTATACCAGGGTGTGCTGATGTCAACGCTGCCCGTCTCGCAGCGAACCAGATGCTCCGTCAGCAGCATGATGAAGCGCTGAGGGAAAGACAATCCTTAACATTTTCATATCAACTACCATTAAAAAAAACAAATTATATTTGGTATTTTATCAAATTGAAGTCATAAAAACATCTTGATGTGACATGTAGTCACTATTCCTATGGAAAGTCCCACTAATTCCAACTAAACCAGAAGGCAGTGTCAGTCTATTAAGGTAAATAATTTATTTTTCCAATTTCAAATTGTGACATGGAAACTAAAAAAGTTACAATTACACTGTTTTAAATTTGCAGGTGGTTGATCTGCTAATTAACAACCTAATATTAGTAAGTTCTAAAATGTTATTTAATAAACTGTAAACTAAGGGCTTGTACATAAAAAACTAAGTCTGTACAACTACAAATATCTTTAAAAATATATATTGTACAGGAAATTGATTTCAGAAAAGTTTTCATCCACACGAACCCAAACAAACACACCACTGAGAATTATTTTAATCATGCTAAGCCCACAGGGGCCAGTGTAGCTGAAACCTGCTGCAGCCAATCAGATTGCTTCAAAACAAGCACGACTTCCTGTTAGGAAGTCAACATGGTGCGAGGCCGTTTATTTGTGTGGACAGGTTGAAGTGTTTTTAAATAGCATCAGATATAAAGTTAACAAAAGACGATGTCCACTGGGAGTTATAACGCTGTATCAAAGCACCATTATTTGTCACAGACAGAAACACGCAAGACGCTAAATCTCCGTTTCCCATGTTCACACGCAAACATAATTAGAGAGCTTTCTCAAATCTCCGCTTTGGTTGGAGTTTTCATAAATAATTTTTAGTGGAATAAAACACTTTTGGTGTGGATGAAAGGCCAAAACACATAAGGATGTGTTTGTTTTCCCAGACGTTTACTTGTGGACGGGGCTTTGGAGATGTTTTTGAGCAACCGTACCTGGAAGATGACGAGGAAGAGGTTTTTCTGCTCGCTCTGAGCCGACTCCACCTTCTCCTGCAGCCTCTCAATCTGCTCCTCCAGCTGACCCTCCTCGTCCTCCTCGCTGTTCTTCTCCATGTCCTCGTCGTCCCCGCTGTCCCTCTGTCAGGACACAGACAGACAGAGTTTAAGGTCAGGTCCACCCCATCATGTCTGAACTGCAGTTGTGCATTTCTACTTTTTCATCTTTAACATCCTGATAAATTTAGTCACATCCTGATGTGACTAAATTTAGTCACATTTGTTGGATGTTTAAATAGTTCACATCAACAAAGTTTAATTTAAAAAAAAAGTGGGGCTACCCTCTTGTGCTGCTGTTTCTCCAGCTTATCTTTAGCTTCCTCCAGCTCCTTCTGGATCTTCTGCACGTGTTTATTCATCTTTCGGATGGTTGAGTGCAGAATCTCCCAGATGAAAAGTCTAAATGAGTCAAAGTATTTTAGATTATAGATGAAAGGAGAAGGATATCTTTATTAAAAACAATGTTGTGCGTGTCACCTGGTGAACTCGTGAGCCATGTCCTGAGAGAAGAGCCAGTTAGCCACAGCGGCACAATCCACGATCTGCGTCCGAATCATTTTATCCACCAACACGGCGATCATCTGAAACACAAATGTCTCTTCCTGTTACTGTTGTGGTTCCACCACAAACATCCCTCGTCTCCATAAGAGTCGTTTTTACCTGAGGGTGGTTCCTCCACACCTCATAAACCACTTTCAGGATGTGCAGCTTCCCGTCGTCGCTTTCTGTCAGGTTTTTAAGGATCTCATGGAATCTGGAAGGATTCAACACAGCGAGATCCACAGGATTCATTGAGTCAAACAAGAGTTTAAATTGTCTGGTCATTACTAGAGTTTAGATATCTAAAAACAATCGTCGGCACTTGTTAGACTCCTTATGTTGCATATTCTAGAGCTGGGAGATATAGTTTAAAAATAAAGTTAGGTTTCTTCATACCGCTTCTGATTTTAAATACATTTTTTTCTCTCTTTTTAAAAAAAAAAAAAAAAAAGAAACTGCAAACGACAGACATTTTGAAAAAGCGGCTTTTATTCCAATCATCTTCGATAAAGTTGTCATGCATCACAACATGAACTGTTCAGTTCATGTAGTTCTTTCTTGTGTTAAAATATTAAGTATTACTATTATGTATTATGTGAAAAAATGTAACCAAAGTTTAACTTCACATGATGCTCAACATTCCTCATTTTAAGTTTTGGTTATTTTTTGTGTCAGAGTAATACTATTCTGACAATATTGTTCTATTTTTATGACTTTATTCATAAACTTAAAAATAAATAGAGAAAATCTTAGCCTGGCCTTAATGTTATGTCGTATTTATTTTCGCACAAATAAATAGGAGTTGTAAAACATACATATCAAACAAGATGCCGACCCTGAACTGTGGAAGCCCAAGCATCGGTGGAGAAAAAAATAAATAAATCAGATTGTCCATCAGCCAAACCTTCAAAAACCTTGTTTGTAAAATGTGGCGTGTCGAAGTTGGAGACCTACTTGCCGAGCGCGCTGAAGGAATGGCTGAAGGACTTCGCTGCCAGATGGAGGAGAGTCTGAAGAAACACATCGATCTTCAGTGGGTTGAAGCTTTCACCCTCATCTGCATCAGCGCAACAGGAAAACGAAGACATGCGAAAAAAAATACAGAGAAATAATTAGCAGCCAGGATGGAAAGCAAGCAAACTAAAGTTTACAAGTAATGAAACACGCTGTGCAGATACAACACTATAAACTGAGAGAAGGTGGAGCTGGTAACAGAGAGGAGAAAAGCTTTACTACCAAACTGTTTCAGAAAAAAAACGGGTCTCAAACAACGAATAAAACCTCAGACAAACCATCATCATCCTCCTGGTTTGGGTTGGGGACTTCTTTGAGGATGGCGAGGATTTCCTCGTTGGACGCTCGGTTCTTTATGGCATTGGAAACTGTAATGGAAACTGGGTAACCTGGTAACGAGGCTGTGAGGGAACAGAGAAGTAAATATTATATTTTGCTCTTTCAGTCCAGTTTGTATTATTCTGATGGAGGTAAGGACATAAAACAGTGGAGTCTTACTGCCACTCTCATCTCCGTATTTGAAAGAAAAGATGGGCTCAGCAGGGATAAGGGCGGAGAAAGTTGGAGGGACAATGTCCACGATCCTCTGATGGTATGAAAGTCTGTAATTAAAGCAGCAAAAACTGGATATTACACTGTAAACAACAGATTTACACAACAAACAGAACATTAGAATGAATGCTTTCCTT